CCTCTGACCCTCCCCCCTCTCATGTGCTCTCTGTCTCTCTCATTCTCTCTGTCTCAAATAAATAAATAAAATCTTTAAAAAAAAAAAAAGAAGTTTGGACTCTATCCTGGGAGCGCTGGGGAGCTATGGAAAGGTTTATAGCGGAGGAGGGGTGTGATCAGATCTGCCGTTAGGAAAGATGACTGTGGTGAGGTGGACCATCGGATTGTGGGGCCAAGAGTGGAGGCAGAGACCAAAGAGGCTCCTGCATGTCCCCAGACAAGAGACCACGTGGTGGCCCTAGGGAGGGCTGCGGCATTAGGGATGGAGAGAAATGGGGGAATTGAGACACACTTAGGAGGAAGAGAAGACAGTGTTTGTGATAGACTGGGTCTGGGTAAGCCCAGGAGAGGAAGATGTCCTGTTGCCTCTGAATCCCTGGCTTGGGCAGCGGATAGATGGTGGTGCCATTCATGGGACCAGAAGCACTGGGCAAGGCACATTTTGCAGAAAGAATCTTTTTCACCTGAGCTGAGAACGCAGTGCATCCTCAGACTGGGGAGCTTGGGTGCAGATGCCCCCAGAGAGGTCATCTTCCATTTAGAGTCTTCTAAAGACCCTCCCTGGGGCAGCGCAGCCCAGATGGGCTCAGGGCAGACCTAAGAGAAAGCCCCACCAGAGGTTAGACCCACCTTGCCCTCGACCCTGTGTCCGGACTGACTTAGGACCTGAGCAGGGCCTTAGCCAGTCGGGGCAGGGATGTTAGTGGGTGTTCCCAAGCAGCAGAAGCCCTGAGCTGAGGACAGACTGGCACCTTCAGGAGCTCCGGGTCTCCGTGGCTAAAGTGACAGGCAAATCGGGGTTGAGGGGGGCAGGGGGGAGGCGGGGAGGATCCTAGTGTTGAACAAGGCCGGCGCTCCAATCCGAATGCCCGAGTTCAAATCCTGGCTCCTCCACCTGTCACTGGCTTGAACGTCTGTGTGCCTGCTTCCCCAGCTGCACAACGGACAGTGGTCCCTGTCTCCCGGGACCCAGCGCGTTTGCGCATGTGCGGGCCAGCTTGCACAGTGCCTGGCGCGTCCTAAGGGCTCAGTAAGTACCAGCTCTACCTTCTTTGTTATTGTTGGAGACGAGAGCAGGGAACTGGTTCGCATGCCTCTGACTCTGGGAGAGAAGCGCTTGGATTTCAAATCACCTGGAAAACCCCTTATCCATCAGGCAGGGAGGGCCCTGAGCCCAAGAAGGAGGAGCTAAGGTGGGGGGGTGGCATTCTTCAGAGGCAAGGTGGGCATACCTTTACCTTTCACATCCAAAAGTCATCTGCATCAGGCTGGGGATGGGTCTCCTCTGAGGAGATGCTACTTTTAATCACAACTAAGCTATGAAGATTTCCAATGCAAAAGTGAATTTCCGTGGTTTGAGTGCTCCTTTGATTGGTTCTGTCCCCTGTTGGCTCACTGTCTCGCCAATGAGTATCTTATCCCCATGGTTTCCCTGTTAGCTCTTCTTGGCGCTTTCCAGAAGAGGAATGCAAACTTCACCCTTCTCTCCACTAAAGCTACACTCTTTCCCCTTCCTATTCTAGATCCTCATTTCCTTAACAATAAAGAAATGTCCGATGTTACCTTTCTGGTAGAAGGAAGACCGTTTTACGCTCACAAAGTGCTGTTATTCACGGCCTCTCCCAGGTATGTACTGTAATAGTTCTCTGAAATTCAATTTTGAGGGTTACCTTCCCTAGACGGGAAGATTACTTTTTCTTTTTTTTTTTTTTAAGATTTTATTTATTTATTAGAGAGCGAGCGAGAGAGAAACAGCATGAGAGAGGAGAGGGTCAGAGGGAGAAGCAGGCTCCCCGCTGAGCCAGGAGCCCGATGTGGGACTCGATCCCAGGACCCTGGGATCATGACCTGAGCCGAAGGCAGTCGCTTAACCAACTGAGCCACCCAGGCGCCCCGGGAAGATTACTTTTTCAAAATCAAGAATTCAAGAGCAGAGGGCATTCGTGTACCCGTGCTCACACCAGCATTCTTCAGAGCAGCTAAAAAGTAGAAGCCACCCAAATGTCCATCGGTAGATGAACGGATACACAAAATGTGGCATATACATATTTTATTTAGCCTTAAAAAGGAAGGCAGTTTTGACAAATGCTACAACATGATGAGCTTTGGGGACATTATGCAAAGAAATAAGCCAGTCACGAAAAGATAGTGTATGATTCTATTTATAGGCAGTACCTAGAGTAGTCAGCTTCGTAGGGACAGAAAGTAGGATGCTGGTTGCCTGGGGCTGGGGGCAGGGGAGGGTGGGGAGTTGTTGTTTAATGCGTCCAGAGTAGGTTCTGGAGATTGGTTGCACAACAGCGTGAATACACTTAACATCTCTGTATGCTTAAAATGGTTAAGACGGTAATTTTTCTATTACGTGTTTTTTACCACAGTCGTAAAGTACAGAGCAGCCTCTGGCTTAAACAGCTGTGCCTTTGTCTGACTCAGGCAAGGGCACCCAGTCCTCTGGGCACACAGAGTATGTACCAGGCACAGAGCTTTGGAGCAGAGTGTGGATGGGATTTTAGCTCCCCCCGGCCCAGTGCCCTCACACAGTGTCCAGCCTGAAACGTCTCAGGCCTGCTCTCCAGATATCCCAGAACTCTGGCATAAGCCACCCCAAATACACAGGTCTTGAACCTGACTTTTCCCTAACTGTGGACCCAACAAGGGCATAGCCCCCTCCCTGACAGCTCTGCAACTGCCCTTTGTCCTTTCGATCTGAGTTGAAATGAGTTGACCATTTAGAACCACATTATCCAAAGACCTGAACTGGGATCAGTGAAGGTGCGCAGAGGAGAAAGGAGAGGCCGGAGATGAGGAGGCCGCCGGGGTAAGCGGAGGGGTGAGGACACTGTGTACCCAGAAATGGAACCTACTGCCAGAATGTTTGCTGATGAACCTGTGTGGCCAGCACTCCCTGGGTTCCCCTGGCCTCCCACTGCCTACCCCCAAAGCCAAATACAAGCCCCAGATGTCTGCTCTGCCACCACGAGAAAAATATGCTGTGCCTTACATGGTTCTCCATTACGATGCATAGAAAAGCAGGAGAGATGTTGTCCCAGGGGTAATTTCTTAGTTTTGACGGCCATGGATGTGTAGGACGCTACCATCAGGGGAAGCTGGGCGGAGGGCGTATAGGAGCTCTGTATTGTCTTTACACTTCGTCTGCAAATCTATCACTATTTCAAAATTAAAAGTTTAAGAAAAGAGACACAGCTTAGCTTATTCCTAAAGGTGTATCGATGTGTTCCCAGCCAGGCACCCCTGAAGTTAAAACTTTAAAGTTAAAAATAGTGGTTCAGGGGAGCCTGGCTGGCTCACGTCGGAAGAGCATGCAACTCTGATCTCAGGGGTGGTGAGTTCGAGCCCCGCGTTGGGCGGAGAGATTACTTAAATAAAAAACTTTAAAAAAAGTAATGAAGTTGTAACTTCAGATTCAAGGATGACATCATACTGGGGTTGCGGTCGCATTAGGACATCTGTGGCTATATCATTAATGTATTTCAAAGTGGGGGGAATACAGGATTTTATGTGTCTCTCTCATCAGAGAGTGGAGTTTTTTGCAAACCATAGATGTGTTTGTGGGTCTTTTTATCTCCCTTCTTGTGTCCTTGTTCAGGTTCAAAGCGCTTCTGTCCAACAAACCAACAAATGACAGCACCTGCATAGAGATCGGTTACGTGAAGTACCCCATCTTTCAGGTGAGCCCCCCCCCCCGTCCCCCCGTGGCCTGGAACATCATGCTGGTGGGCACAGGGCACGGGCCTTCCCTGCAGACATCCACCTGTGGTTTGGCTACTGTAGAGTCATCAGTCCCCTGACTCTGGGCCCCTTCTCCCACCCCTTCCAGTTTACCATCATTTTATCCCTACAGCATTTATTGAGCACTTACTGTATACCTAGCACTCTGCTGGGACCTGGGGACACAAGGATAAATGACCTTCCTCCCCTGGGGCCCCACAGTCCAGAGGGGGTAACTCTGAGTAACTAATCTCCTACAGTATAATGTGGGGATGGGCAGGAAAGAAAGGGCGGGGAGCCAACGTGCTCTGGCAACTCAGACTAGGGAAATCAGAGAAGGCCTCCTGATGAGGCATTAGCTGGAATAGTGAAGGCTGTAGAGAAGTTGGGGAACCATAGGAAGGCTTAGCGCTTAAAAAAGGGGGTTAGGAGATGCTTGGCAGAGATCAGCAGGGATGAGGTCCCAGAGCTGTGGTTGAGCCTAGTGTGATCAGAAGCCAAAGACGTGCTGTCCTCCCACCTGCCAGGGTTAATGAGCCGACGATGTGGGGGACCCCGGGGCTGGAATCTGTGGGATTCTGAGCAGGATCCTGTTCCTGCAGTTCAGCTCAGGAAGCACAGCCCTGGGAAGAGCACACAAGTGGCTGAAGCTCGGGCAGGTCCGTGGGGGACTCATGCTCCAAGAGGGGTGTTGAGACTGCTCAGAGATCATGGGGGATGGGGGACGAGGCTGGCTGTGACCAGCGTAGCAGGGCAAGGCTCCTGATCTGGACTTGGGAGGACAGAGCTGCAGTCCAGGACTGAAGAGCGGCATTTTCCTGTTTAAAATCAGTGTCTATCACGGGGCCTTGGGCAATTCACCAGCCCTTCCAAGGCTCCTTTCCTCATCTGGTGGATGGGAGAGAGGGGGTACTGCAGGGGGTGGAACAGCATAAACAAAGGCACAGTAGTGGGAAGTCATGGGGTGTGTTTGAGGGAAAGTGATTATCAGTCTATTCGGACAGGTCCTAAGGTATATTGGAGATTGAAAAGACTCCCTGGGACCACGTAGTATGAGCCAAGTCAGGAGAAGGTAGGCCAGATGGTGGTTCTTTCCTCCGCCCTTGACCCTGGTCCCCCAGATCCTGCTGTCCAGAGAGCTGCCAGAAGCCACCATACCCTCACACCAGGCCCTAAAGCCTGTTGAGGTGCCTGCATCTCCACCATTAGAGATGCATTTCTTTGGTTATGCTGAAACTTCAAAAGAAAGAATCCTTCCCAAGTAACTATGGGCAAGGCACTCTTCTCTGAGCCTCATTTTCTCCATTTTTAACAAGTTAATCATTATCACCTCTAGGTCATGGGTTCTTGCAGAGATTAGCAAGTAGGACAACGCGAGGAAGCATTCAACTTGGCAACTTTTAAGTGGGTTTTTGTTTTTCTGAGCCGTAACTGGTAAACCACCTCCTTACTCAGCACAAGGCCCTATAGAATAGGTTACTTGGGACTGACCGTGGGGGAAAGGGCGAAAGAGGTTTCCAAGGACAAGGCCAGTCTGGGTGAGACATCCCACGGCGGGGGGGGGAGGCACACAGCGAGGAGGCTGGAGCCCCAGCGTGGGACTAGGGCATTGGCACACCCCTGCACCCAGCCTCTCACCCCAGCCCCTCACCACATTTCTTGCTGACAGCCAAGTAGCCACAGCCCTTTCTGGAACGGTGGTGGCTGTGGAGTTTGAAGTTTTCCAGAAGAACTGCTGCTTTGCTTTAGGATTCGCAGTGGGAGGACAGTGAAGAAACCTCTGTGGGGCTCCAACTATGAATGAGACACTGACCTCTGCTCACCCGTGGTTATCTGGATTTTTTTTTTAAAGATTTTATTTATTTATTTGACAGAGAGAGACACAGCGAGAGAGGGAACACAAGCAGGGGG